CATATGATGGTGTATTTTCACGTCAGCACTCGTAAGATTTCAGACAAGATATTGTCTGAGTGACACTTCTGGTCCAGTATCTATTCTGTGTGTTAGTTGTCTTATGATTTATTATGATGAGATACATTTTACTACACTTTACATGGCGGATCTTGGAACACAGGCGGAGCCACTGGGCGAAGTAGCGCGGGTGGAAAGGCAAAAGCCTCTGTGGAGGAGAGGGCATGCAACATGTACGCACTGCGTAACTATTTTTGTTATTGTTGTGAGACTTTGACTGCGAAACCATTGTAAAAATATGATACGAGAGTGATTTGGGATATTATATATCAAAAATACAAATTGTGATTTGTTGGTGATACTTAAAGCGAAATTCCCAACACCTGGCACCCCCGATGCGAAGTTGAAGTCCAGAATATGTGAGTAAAACCTTTAAATTAGAATAATATAAGCGAAGGTTTAGAGTAAATAACATGCCGCCTAAACTCGAAGTTACGGCACTCGAGACGAAGATAACGCAACTAAAACGAGCGATTGGGAAGACCGAAACTATAGTAAACAATTGAAAAAAACAAGCAATCGTTAGACATGTGGATACTATTATAGAAACTCTGTCCGAAGTAAATAAATTGAGACGGGAAATCGAAGCGACAAAAATCTCTGAGGGTGTAAACGACGACGAAATTGACGAATGGAATAGCGAAATCGAAAGCGTCATGGAAAGCGGTGACGAAGCGATTGAAAAGTTGCAAGAATGGCTTAAAACAAAGGAATCAAAGTTAGAAGAGATTCAACAAGAGCAAAAAGCTAAACGGGAAAAACAAGAGCAAGAAAAACGAATCGAATTTGAGCTTAAATTACACGAGGCGAAAATTAAAATGCAAGCGGAAGCGGAAGTGTCTGTTAAACCAACATCCGGGAAGGAAGAGGACGAAGTCAGCAAATTACAAGCGAAATTGCCTAAGCCTCAAATTTCGGAATTCAACGCAAGTTACAAAGATTGGCCAAGATTTTGGAACTTAATTGCACTCGGAAACTATTCATAAATCAAGTATACCGGCTGTGAGTAAATTTTCTTACTTAAAGGAATTATTGTACGAGAAAGCAAGAAAGACAATCGAAGCTTTGCCCCATACCGCAGAGGGCTATAACCGAGCTACTGCTATATTGAAAAACCGATTCGGGAAGGAATGTGAAATAGTCAAATGCTTTGTCAAGGAAATTATGGAATTGCCCCATATACCGACTGCAAATGTGAAGAAAATCCATGAGTTTCATGATAAATTGGCATATTGTGTGCAGTCACTCGAAACATTGAAGAAGCTGGACGCAGTGAATGGCACTGTTTCCATGACCTTGGAAAAGCTACCTGCGATCAGGGGAGATCTTGCCCGTAACGGGAAGATTGGACATACGTTCAACTAACTGAAGCTTTGCAATACTGGACCAGGAGGAATCCACTTGACAGCCCCAAGCATGATCACACGCAGAAGAAACGCAGGCTTTCTTGCCATCCTACTTTTCCTACTTTTTCCTACTTTTCTTCAACTTTCCTACTTTTCCTATTTTTTATTAAAAATTGCTTGATTTTCCTACTTTTTCTCATAAAATCCTACTTTTTTAAGACAGCTTGGGGAATCAGTATATGTTATAGCTCTCGTAATTAGATCTATAGGACTCGCAATTTGTATTCCCTATTTGTGTCCCAGATGATAAGATCTCAGGAGGAGAAGAAGTACATTTTCCGAATATATAATTTCATAGCATCTATAGAATCATAATCAATAAATTATGAAGACTCTGAAAGTGCCATTTCCGACGTCCGATCTAGATATTCCAAATATTCAACTCCACC